CCCCTGGGACCTAGGCCCTGATGCTCTTGCCAGACTCATCTCTCTCAATTGTCCCCCTTCCAATATTCTCTTGGGAAGAGGTCCCCGATCCCAAGTCTAGCTTAGGATTCCTGGAGGTCCTTCCCACCCTGTGCCTGTCACACGGTGTTGTAATTAGATGTCTGACTGCGCCCCCCCCCCAAACTGTATGCTTCAGGGGTGCAGGAACCCTGACTCACCCACCGCCATCCCCTCGGCACCTGGCACAAGTGCTCACCACATAGCTGCTGAATGAATGAATGAATGAATGAGCATGTGTATCGAGCCCCCGGCATTTCTTTTCTTATTGTTTTTGTGTGAATTATTTATATAGTAAAGATCTTAACACCGCCACTGGCTGGGAATATGGTCCCCAGGCTCTCCGCCTTTTAATGTTGGTTAATTTTTGGAGATGGGAGGAACACAGGGAAGTTTTAAATTCGAATGGAAGCGGTCCTATTGATTTTTCTCTCGAGAACTCTTCGATTGCTTCTAAGTTTAGAAAGTCTGTCCCTCTCTGGGTCCTTGATGAGTGTCCACGCGTGTCCTGCGCGCTGCTGTCAAGTTCATCTCCTCAGCCCAGGGCTCTCCTGCTCCGAGTCTGCTTGGAGCCTTTAGGACAAAGTCCACACTCGTTCACTTGACCCCTAAGCTTTTCATGCTCCGTCCCGAGCCCGCCCCCTAGCCTTTCCCTCACTGTCCCCAAGTCAGCTGGAGCTCCCCAGGCGACAGGTCTACTTCTCTCTCCTTGTGCCCTGCTCGCCCCACCTCCACGCCTTTGCTCCCGGCGTGCCCTCATAGGATGCCCAGCCTCCATGGCTTTCTTCTCTTTCTTCATTTCTTTTTTTTTAAATATATTTTATTGATTTTTTACAGAGAGGAAGGGAGAGGGATAGAGAGTTAGAAACATCGATGAGAGAGAAACATTGACCAGCTGCCTCCTGCACACTCCCTACTGGGGATGTGCCCACAACCAAGGTACATGCCCTTGACCGGAATCAAACCTGGGACCTTTCAGTCCACAGGCCAATGCTCTATCCACTGAGCCAAACCGGTTAGGGCTCTTTCTTCATTTCTATATATGTAAGTCGTGTTCTTCAAGCCCTCCTTTCTCCAAAGGGCCCCGCCTTCCTCTTCCTCCTGAAGAGCAGAGGCTGGAGGGGTCAGAACGTGAGCTTTGGAGCCAGACAAGCCTGGGTTAACATCCTAAACCCGTCGCTTGGTTTCTGTTGCCAAGTTCTTTAACCCTTCCAAGTCTCGGTCCCCTCATCTTTTTTTGTTTTTGTTTTTTTAAATATAGTTTTATTGATTTCAGAGAGGAAGGGAGAGGGAGAGGGAGACAGAAACATCAGTGATGAGAGAGAATCATTGGTCAGCTGCCTCCTGCACACCCCACACTGGGGATGGAGCCCACAACCCGGGCCTGTGCCCTGACTGGGAATCGAACCGTGACCTCCTGGTTCACAGGTTGACGCTCAACCACTGAGCCACGCCGGCCGGGCTCAGTTCCCTCACCTTTAATATGGAAACAGAAGGCAAAGAAGGACCACAGTGGGTGGTTTTGAGGGTGAACTGAGTCTGGTACCAAATGCCAGTAACCCAGCGTGGTCCCAGCCCCACCCCACGCTCTGCCGTGGGGAAGGCCGTCCCCAGGGGTCTGTGGCGGGGGCATGTCCGACCCTCCCTCTCCAGCCACATCTGCCCCCGGGGGCCTGGCCGGGTCTGGAATTCCACAGGAGCTGAGTTTTCTGCTTGGGAGCTGGGAGTGAGCCAACAGGTTCCACCGAGGGGTCCGGCCCAGGCCCGCGGCCACCCTGGTGGGACGCCCGCAGCCACTGGGCCCACAGGCCCCTCCTCTCTCCTTTCTGCATTGAGTGCTAAAGGTATTGTCGCTGGGAAACATTTCCGTCTGCCAAGGGGTCCACCGGCACCCCCTGCGCCTGACGATCGGCGCCCAGTTTTACACCCCCCAGCCTTGGGGAGTAGGGGGCTCCGGGAGGCCTGGTGGCGGTGGCGGAGAAGTGGGAGCTCGGCCACGCATCCTGGCTCTCAGGGCCTCCGCCCTCGTCCGAGCCAGTCAGTGCTGGCGGGGAGCCCAGGGTCTGTGTGTTCTCTCTGTGACCCCAGAGCACCGAGCACCGCACTTGAGCAGCGGTCATTTGGGGAAGAGCAGAGATGACGACAATTCACTGGCTGGGGGGTGGGTTGGGGTGGGGTGTCTGGGGCTGGGAGTCAGAGTGGGGACAGCCTGGACGGGAGAAGAGCTAGCTTATGATCAGGAGCCTGTACCCCAGCCCAGCTCTGCCCCCACCTGGGGAGAATGCCTGTCCCCTCTGCACCCCAGTTGCTCAATCTGTAAGAAAAAAAAGGGGGCGGGGGACATAGAACAATCCTTATCGTGGGAGCTTAATGTTTTCAAAGTGCTGTCCTGGGCCGGGCCCCTCGTGGAGCCCAGCCGTCCCTGGGGCCTGACCTCACCAGGGTGGCCCTATCGACCATCTGACACCATGCGGCTGCCTCCCCCTCTCCATCCTGTCCTGTCCTTCCTCCCGGGCCGGGGCCTGACTGAGCCGGAGGGCAGTGTCCTGGACAGGCTGGGGAAGGCAGTGTGTTGGACAGGCCGGGGAAGGCAGTGTGTTGGACAGGCCA